ATAAACCTACAAACCACTTGCTGCCGTTATCATAGATTTCATAGAAACTTTCTTGCCTATGCCAGTGAATGGGCCCCAAGGCTTTAACGATACTGCCACACTGCACTAAAACCTTAAGATGATTAGTGATATTCTTAAAGCCTAGCCCACTGATAATGTGTTTAAAGAAGCAATACAGCTTTTCCTAGATTTGAGTTCAAAGTCTGAGAAGCATGGGGTCAGAATGCCAATGGGCTAAACAAAGAATATCCAAAATGGGCTTTGGGGGATTTGAAACTTAGGCCCCTGAACCTCTTTGATCAAAACAGAGCTATAGCCATAGAAATACTAAGTATCAAGGGCCTGCGACCGTGTTGCTGCCAAAGAATAGAGAGTTTCACAAGTAGGATGAGGGTGCAGTAACAGATAAAAAGAATGGCATTGTATATTTGGAAGCCATTACTGTGGTGATACTCAAGGTTCCACATAAAGACCAACAGCCAGGTAGTCTCTCCAAATCAGAGTCAGATGGCTCTTAGCACTGATGGGCACCAACAGTAAACCTAACTTTCTGAAACCCAATTAAGGAGGCATTCTGACATTTCGATATCAAGTTGTGCTGTGTCAAAACATTTTGATTCTAAAACAACAACAACAAAAAGGATGCTGAGAGAAAACGTGAGCACACATAACGGTTAAATCAGAATAGTTTGCTAATGATGAAACAAATATGATTCAAAAAAATTCAGCAGATTTCCACCTTGAGCTGCCTTGAGCAATTAGGTGGGTATGGTTAGTCTAATAATGAATCCATTGAGTCCAAGAGATTCCAACTGTCTTCAAAGTTTTTATTAACTAATTGACAATAAGGTTAACAGTAGAATCTGACCAAATATAGAGTGTGATTAATACATGTTTTCTCGTTGATGTCAAGATACCGGAAGTCGTTAAAATGAGCAAATAATCTAAAATCATAATCAATCAAAAACTCAATTATGCGTGTTTATTACCATCCTGTCAGTTATAGTGTAACACCTTTAGGTAGCTACATCAACAACTGATTAGTGGAGGAGACAACCATAATGACAAATATAACATCAGATGCAGAAGATGATTAAAAGTAGAGAATTTCAATTAGTTTAGGTGATGTCATTTAATACTTCCTCATGGCACTAGTGGTTAGCTCATATTTCAAACAGTTATCATCATTAAAGGTATTCAAAAGGTGCACGGCGAGTCATATAGTTCAAGTGTTGTATCACAGCAACACACACTGTACTTCATTTAGACTGTAACTGAAACACATAAAAGTACAGTAAGTGGCACAACAGGGTCTCCATGTTTGATGAGGCTTAGTTGTAATACATACATAGTGACTTAAAGCCTTCCCCTACTTTTACTCAGTTACATGTCAAATTGCCACTGCACCATTTGGCATGTAACTGCATACAGCACCTCTGTTTTATCAGCTGTGTTTCTAAGAGTTACAATGCTTACCTTTAATGTCATCTCTAGCTGTTCCTGTTTATTCTGACTGCCTCTTCGACTACATAGACATAATGTGACGTCAGCTGTAGAAAAGCAGCTTGTCAGAAGACATTTCACAAGATCAAAATGCAACAAGGTGTGACAATTTTGATCCGGATAGGAAAGGCAAAGAGGACCGCAACTAACGATTATTTTCATTATCTGTTATTTTCTCAGAAATTATCTATCGCTATTTCCTAGAAACCAAGATAATGTCCTATACAGTACAGTGGCAAGAATAAGATAGTTCTTTATAATTACCTGCATTTATTTGTCTAAAAATATGGTCATTCATCTTGGTTTAAGCAGTTAACCAGAAAAAACACAAAGCTAACTGGAGCTACTTAGACTTAGAAACTAGAATTACCACCACACAGTTGTATGCTTCCACTAACTAGTCAAGTTGCCTTTTACATGTCTGTTCAGTCTCAAAACATATATAGTAAAGACTTAGAAGGAAGACAGTAAAATATATTAAGTGTATTTTTTTTTTTCACCATATGAAAATCATGGTACATGGGGCACAGTGTCCATGGCAGGACATCAAAGAGGAACCTGTTGCTGGATGGCTGAAGCTTGCAGACCACGACACTGTTTGGGAAAATGTTTTGTGGACCGAAATGGAGGTAGAGTGGCTGAACCACCTTGGACGGAGCATCACTGATGAGAGCTTGTCAACACTGAGGTGAAATTGAATTCCCAAGTTTATCACGGTATTTTACAGGATAATGTCAGGGTGGCTGTCTACAAGGTGCAGCAGAACAATGACCCTAACCATCAAAATAAATCTACTACAGAATGCTTAGTCAGGGCCCAGAACCCAATAGAGAAGTCATTCACACCAGACAAGAATATGACTGAGCTATAGCTGTTCTGCAGAGAAGAACATCCAAGGTTCCTCCTGAACGTTGTGCAGGTCTAATCCACAGCACTTGTTTCATTGATCAAGTGGTCAATTCCTTTTTCCATCAACACTGCAAATGTTTAATTGGTGTGTTGAGGACTATAACTGTTTGTGTATTATTAGCTCAAGCACAATGTTTTTATTTATATGTGTAACTTAGAAGAGTTACCGCAGATCCCAAAGATCCCCAACAAAAAAGAGACTCCGTTTATTATAATACAAGACAAGGGAAGCAGCAAGTTTTCATATTTTAAAAAATAAAACCAGCAAATGTTTGTCAATTTTGAGAGACTGTGAATTTAAACTAATCCATTATAGTTGCTGCTTAGTTTTCTGTCAGATTGATCGATTATTCAACTAACCGCTGCAGCTCTGGAGAAAGAATCAACATTCAATAAATGTTAATATGCATTAAACAGAAATACCACTTGAGCGAGTTCAGCTAAAGAATATCTTATAGTTTTAAGGTTGTGGTCAATAACTTGAAAATCTTTGGGCGTTTATCACCTTTTCTCTATAAATCTTCACGGTCTCACTTTCTGCTCTGACC